CTGCTTTCTCGATTTTCAAAATTTTGAAAATTTTGAAAAATATTGATTTACAATTACAAAAATATATTTTTTGATTTTTTTTTCAAAAAGTTTTTGACTTTTCGCAAAAACCGGAATACCTATATGTGATAGAACACACACTGATTAACTACATTTGCAAGTTTTAGCCCAATATCTTCAAAAATAGCCAAGTTTTTCGCATTATTGTCAAAATTTTAAAATTTTATGTTTTTTGAAATCCATTTTTCAGTACGTTTTTGACGTCGTACAGCAATATAAATGGCACCATCGTGTTCCTGAGCTCAAACTGCATCTGAAAGGCACCTTTTGTTGAAAAATTTCATTTTCAAAATTTGACCTTTTCTGACCTGAAAGTGACCTGACCTCCAGTAAATTCAGCTGACAATGACCTCAAATGACACAGACGACACTATTTTCGAAATCTACGAGTAAAATGGACCATAAAATATGCGTCACGTGACCGATACATGATATACAATTTTCGTGACCTAGGATGACCTGGCCTTGACCTTAAAAATTCGAAGTAAAAGTTCGGTAACCTCAGGGTATTTAAGGCATCCGTCAAGGAGTGCGTAAACCAAAAATGAGCCTGATCGGACCGGCCCCAGTAAACATGCCGACGTCGGCCCAACGTCGGTTCAACCTCGGCCCGACATCGGCTGGACGTCGGATATGCCCGCATGTTCCGACGTCCAGCCGAAGTCCAGCCGACGTCGAGCCGAAGTCCAGCCGACGTCGAGCCGACGTCGGGCCGAGGTCGTTTGCCGAGGTTGACGAGAACGTTGGTCGTTGGACCGACGGGGCCGACGTCGGCATGTTTATTGGGACAATGCGCCAAAAATATCAACCGGCGGCGGGATTCGAGCCCCCCAGTCGCCGACGTCGGCATGTTTACTGGGACAACACGCTAAAAGCATCATCCGGCGATGGGATTCGAACCCCGTGTCATTTGAACGCGAGATTAGTGCGCTAACCACTACACCACGCAGCCAGATAGCGATTTTGGTTTGTTTTGTTGGTTTATGCCCTTTCGGTCTGACAAGACCATTTCAGAGCCGGAAGGATGATAGGATGGAGACATTGGTCTTCTTGGCGAGCACCCTGGGTCCAGTTCATATAGAGTCCCTGGTCCCATTGCTGTTACGTGACACTTATTGGAAAGGGCGACCCCACAATGGATTCATATAGCCACTCTTACACACCTGCACCAACGTTTCCCAAAGTGTCCCTTTGATAAGCGGCACTTTGGCAAAGTGACACTTGCCGACTGGCCTTTCTATATGAACTGGGCCCGGCCCTGGTGAGTTGCCGGGGCTGAGCCTGACCAAAGGATAGGCCGAGCAGCCCCCAAGCACTCACCGCACTCGGCTACGGGCGAGCTCAGCTTACGGGCAATCCCAAATGGGATAAAGTTTCCCGTCCCGTCCGGATCAGGGGGTTGCGACGTGGAGGAAGATTTGAGTTTCCTGAGGATATTTTGAATACAGAAGCTCTTTATGAAACATGAAACATGCATTTTATATTATTTTAACGGTCAAAACAGCGGCCGATGTCGGTCCGACGTCGCCCCGACGTCGGCCCGACGTCGGGCCAACGTCGGCATGGTTACTGGGTCCGGCGGTCAGAGCCTAAATTGTGAACTAACAAAAATGTTGATAATTTTTACTTTGACCTGACCTGTGACGTCATCGGTGACCTCGAGGTCAATGAAAATAGGTTTCGCTCGACAGTGTTTCCAGGGCTATCAGACGCCGTTTGAATTTTGACGATCGGTCCATTAGTTTCGGAGATAGGAGGGGGGCTCTGGAGAGCCCCCCCCCCCCCCAGTCACTCGCGTTATGGAAAATACCCCAGTCATGCGCGGGCTAAGGAACATATATGGGCCTCGGCACTCAACCACCTCCCTGTCGGCTCTAGGAATCGGAATGGGCTCTTAGTCTTCCAGATCACCATGGGCATGGACGTTAGGGTGTGTCACTAATCGCAATGCAAGGTGCTCCATCGATTTTATTGTGCTCCACTCATGTGGAAAGGGCGTGGCATTGTTAATTTCCCGCAAATTTTAACCCCCAGGCGGCGCCGAGCGAGAGAAGTTTGCCCTATCTCACAACATAGGCGACCCTAGCGCCCCTGGCGGCTGTTTGCTAAACAAACAGGCCGTTGACTGTATGGGCTTATCCCTGCTTTCTGTAAGCGCGTCTAGGGACAAATAATAGTATGGGCAGATTGCAGAGAGTGCAAGCTAATGACGAATACCTATAATGAATACAATATATTGTCACAGGGGCCCAGGAACATTCTTCAAGTTGGGGTGCAAGCCCAAAATACCTGACATGACGCATATGAAATAGTAGCGTAGTCAGGGGGTCCCAGGAGGCACGTGCCATCTAGTCCCCCCCCTATCGCATTCAGAGGACCCCTCGGGTCGGAGGGGCTCTGTGGCACCAGTTTACCGCTCAGGGTCTATGCTGGCCATATTTCGATTCAGAAAGAATAGGGCTCGTAACAGCACCTCGTGAGTCCAAAGAAGCCTCACTAAATTGTCCATGAGGGTTACACGCCGGCTTCTGAAGGCTACTGGCGGCCTCTGAGGGCCCTTTACCGGCCTCTTATGGCCGCTAGCGTGCCTCTGAGAGTCCTTGCCGGCCCAAGAGGGGCCATATCTAGGGCCTTACGCCAACCTGTAATCAGTAATGGCCTCACACCAATGTCTCAGACGGCCCCATTACGACGACTGTGAGACTGAGGGCCCTCACTGGTGCTTCTGAGAGCCCACCCGGCCATAAAGACCCCTGCGGTACCAACTGACCTCTGAGGGTCCACGCTGACTATATTTCAGCTGAGAAAGACCTCACAGGTCTCGTAAGAGCACCTCATGAGCCCCTAAGTAGCCACACTAAGATCTCCGTCAGGGTCTACGCCGGCTTCTGAGGATCCCATAACGGAGACCGTGAGGGCCCTCAGCAGGGCCTCTGAGGGTTCACAACCAGCACCTCTGAGAGACCCACACCAGTGGTTCTAAGGGCCCATAAGGACACCACTGAGGGTCCCCCAAGCCAGTGCCACACCATTTATGCAACCCTATATTGGTGGCTCTGAGGTACCCACACCTGCGCCTGTGAGGGTTCGGCAAAAGCATATCTGCCGGCCACCTACCTGCAACTCTGAGGGCCCTACATCAGAGACTGAGGGCCGCACTAGCGTCTCAGAGTACCTTGTCGGTATCTAAGGACCCCACGGGGCTTCTGAAGATGCCGCCGGCCTCTATGGGCCCCTTGCCGGTCTGAGGTCCCCCTCCCCGGTCGTTGAGGGCCCCCTGCCGACTTTTAAAGGGTTCGCACCAGCAGCTCTAAGGGCCACACACCCACATGTAACGGACCCACACCAGTGTCTCTGAGGGTCCACAACGGCGTCTGTATTCTGTGAGGACCCTCACCGGTGCTTATGAGGGATTCACACTAGCACCTCTGAGGGGCCACACGGGCGTATGTGAGGACCCCACACCAGTGCCTCTAAAGGCCCCTAATTGGAGGCTCTGAAGGCCCTGCATCGGTGATACTGAGGGTCCTACCAAAGGCACAACACAAGCCATTAGTCTCCTTCTGAGTCCCACACGCCGCCCTCCCACCATAGGCGGCGGAACGGGGAGGGCACCGGGGCACCGTGCCCCCTCTGATTTGGGCATTTTAACATTAGCCCTATGGGCGTTGCATGGAAAGAATGGGACCAAAAGTCGGCAGTGCCCCCCCCCCCCCCCCCCTCCACTTAATTGAAGGTGTTCCGCCGCTACTGCCTCCCACCGGAGCGAGTAAACCTGTATCAATCAACGACTTTACCACCGTTGTACGTCATAATGTTCTCATCACGCCAAATCAAATACCATCCGGAACCAAAATGGTCCAGTATAAAATCTGACCTACCAAAGTTATGATCAAGTTCAGATAAAATCAAAGTGGGATGATAATAGCAGGTGTTCTTAAATCGATGCCGAGTCAGCAGAAACCATTCACTTCACATGCAAGAGAAATACCTTGTGCTGATGTTTATATAAAAACAGACATGTAGGTCCATAAAAGTGAGCAGAGATCCTTCATCGTTGCATCAATGTTGAGGGGGCGGCGCCCACTCGGCTCTCAAGTTGGAGGGGGGGCAAGCGCCCCCACTGCCCCCCCCCCCTGTTCCCCGGGGTCTATGCAGTGAACGACCCAGCAAACATGCCCACATGGTTCCCATATGGGGCCCACATGGGCCCCCCACCTCTTCCATATGGGTCCCACATGGGAATGGCAGTGGGTGACACGTGGGACCCATATGGGCCAGCCCACGTAGGCCCCATATGGGACCCACGCGGCGCCCACATGGGACCCATATGGGTAGCCCATCTGTAGCCCATGTCCCACGTCGGCCCATCTGGCCCATGTTCACCCCATATGGGACCCACATGGGATGCCCATCTCCAGCCCACATGCGTTTGGCCCATCTGGCCCATTTTTATCCCATATGGGGCCCATATGGGTAGCCCATCTGTAGCCCATGTCCCACGTGGGCCCATCTGGCCCATGTTCACCCCATATGGGACCCATGTGGGCATGTTTGCTGGGGACGCTACAAAAAAAAAAAAAACATGTGACACCTAATAGCAGGCACTATAAACATGCGCTCGTACGTATCCCGTCAGACCAGGACGGGGATCGGGGGTAGTAGGTACTATGCAATATATGATTATGTGTAAGCGGATTTCCGCTTACATGTTATGCGAGCGGATACTGGGCCTACCAGAAGTGAAAGTCGCAACTCTAAATTCGTCCTGTGCTGCAATAATGTCCTTGGTTTGTTGTCGCGTGTTTAGTGCTATTTAGTTATGATACTGATTTGTAATGACTATTTTATTATTTGATATTGATCGGTACCAATGTTTCTTTAGTTATGTGTCATATTTCTTGTTAGTTCCGGCATGTCTCCGTCCCAAAACAGGTGTAGTCAAACACAGGACCTTGTATTCATCTTGTCTATAGATCCGTTTCTGCAACACGTCAGAACAATCGTCACATATAGCAGCAGTGAGCTCTTCCCTAACACAACAACTGAGCCACACTCGATCTGACGATTAGACCTTGACATGACCCATACTCGTTCGTCCTTGACACATTTCGACTGCAAGTAGCACATACTAGGCACATACTATCATAAGACTGAAACGACCAGTTCAATCGGTTAAACTTACTGACTGTGTGCACCTCATGCCGGACTAACTGGGGGCTGATTCCCTCTGACACACGGTCGAAACAGTCTCTTCATATTATTCCTGCAGAAACAAAGTTATCAGTTTGGTACTCAAAACACGGACAAACCTGAAACACCTTTGGCTTGGCTATTCACAGCCTTAAACAAAATAACATTCTCAAAATACTTTCTAGTTTCTAGGCCTTATCGCGGACCTTTAGCTCTACATACATGAAATGCGGCAAACAAATACAAATCCAGCGCAGAGTTCAAGTGCTGATATCAGACAGAGATCACGGTAAATCTGCTAGTTTCATATCACCATCAACAACGGACATTTATCTGATTCAATCCACATAGAGTTATGCAAGATTTCACTTCCTAAACTCACTCATTAGCGCCAGGGAAATCAAACCATCCTCAGAAACAATCCTGAACAAGAATGTCGGCCGCACAAAACGGGCGTGGCAGGAACACGACAGTGCCCACCACTATCATACCGAAACTGCTGACACGTCACAATGTTTTAGGTTCTTAGATTCGAAAACGTGAAACACAAAACGCAGAATTATTTGTTTCGGAAAACGTTGTACAAAATATTGTTCATAGCATTCAAAGAAAACCGTGGAAATATTCATCAGAATGGTATTCGAGTATTTAAAGTACCTGCCACATTCGAGTACTTGTAAATACCCACGCGTAATCACACTCGGTCAATATAGATGTCGCGACGATCGAACGCCAAACTGCTGCTATAGCGTGACTATCGGCGCTTAACTAATATAGATGTCGCGACGATCGAACGCTAAACCGCTGCTATAGCGTGACTGCCGGCGCTAGACTGCTGCTATAGCTAGAGGGCAACTACACCCGCCCCCTTGAAGCCACCACGCAACACATGGCTTCAACCTTAGTCTACGACACGAACATGACGCACAGGAACATCTTCCATACAGAGTACACGATCTCGCCTACAGCTTGATCAGCTTAGTCACCGGTCGCTGAAGCGTGACGCCTCTGGTCTTAATCTCTACCGAGCGCACTAATCCGTCTGCTCCGACTCGTACTCGCTCCACTACTCCTAATGGCCACTGGCCTCGCGGCACAGCATCATCAACAACTAGAACCGCGTCTCCTACAACAAGGTTAGTCATTTTCCTTGTCACCCTATACGGTCGTTCCTGTAACAACGGTAAGTATTCTGCTCGCCACCGCTTCCAGAACAGATTCGCGAGATACCTCGCCTGCTTCCAACGTTTGACACTATCTGAGTCACTCTGGCCTACAACCCCGAACGGCATCACCACGCTGCCGGTACCAATCAGCAAATGGTTGGGAGTGAGTGGCTCGTGATCAACCGGATCTAAGGATACTGGGGTGAGTGGCCTACTGTTCAATATTGCCTCTACTTCACACAATAGAGTCAACAGAGTTTCTTCCGTGAACGTCTGCGAGTCCAGCAATGATCCCAGGATTCTTCGGATTGAGCGTATCTGTCGTTCCCAGACACCTCCGTGGTGGGACGCTGCGGCTGTGTTGAATTTCCATTCTACTCCTTGATTCAACAGCGTACGATGCAGCACATCTTCATTGGCTCGCAGTTTCTCCAACTCCTCTCGAAGCTCGCGACTGGCACCAACAAAATTTGTCCCCTTGTCTGATCTGAGCACCTTGACGTGACCTCTCCGTGCGACGAATCTACGTAAGGCGCACAGGAATGAATCTCCTGACAAATTTTCGGCGACCTCGATGTGGACGGCCCTCACCGCCAAACAAGTAAAAACGACTCCGTACCTCTTCACCTGCTTCCGTCCTTGTCGGACAAAAAACGGTCCGAAATAGTCGACTCCGGTTCGAGTGAATACAGGTTCTTCCGCTGTGACTCTGTCACTCGGCAGGTCCGCCATCTTCTGAGATTCTGGTGGGCGATGTCGTCGGCGGCATCCGAGGCAACGTCCAATCACTCGTCTGACGATCGAGTTCCCTTTCACGATCCAGAAACGTCTCCGTATCTCAGCTAACACATGTTGACGTCCAGAGTGTCCGACCTTCTCATGCACCTGTTGAACAGTTAGTTCGGCGAAATAGCAATCCGGGAGTACAATTGGGTGCTTCTGGTCCAGGGTGACATCAGCATTCTTCAAACGTCCGCCAACTCGGAGGATCCCATCACTCAGGAATGGATTCAGCTTACTGAGAGCTCCCTTCACTTCCTTCCCATTGCGGAGTGTCTCCAGCTCATCAGGGAAACTCTGCTCCTGTACCCACCTAACGACACAGTTCTCTGCTTCTTCGAGATCTATCAGCTGGAGTCGAGATGGACGCTCCGTTTTTCGACCCTGCGATTTTGTCGCTCTTTCCTGCAATCTCTTCTTCACCTTCAGCAGCCAAGCCACTGCCCTTAGAAGAGCCTGCTTCTTACTGTAATGACGAATGAGCACTTCGATTGGATCCTTCATCTTCTCTTCTGACACCTTCATTGCACAGACCTTCACCTTCTTCACTTCAGGGTCTTCTTCCGCTATCTTCACCTTGGTTGGAGGCATCATGGGCCACTGCTCCTCTGGAAGCCGAAGAAAGGCCGGTCCAGAAAGCCACCTCTCACTCTGAACACCTCGTGAACTGTCATCGGCCGGGTTTTCTTCACCTCTCACGAACCTCCAGTTCTCAGTCTTTGATCCATCGTGAATGATCGCCAACCTGTTGCTGACAAACGTGTGGAATCTAGTCGCAGTGTTCTGCACGTATGCGAGAACGGTAGTACTATCCGTCCAGAAGAAATGTTCTGTCTCCGAACCGAGCTCCATCGCGTCCTCTATCAGCAACCGAACACGTACCGCCGTCACTCCAGCCATCAACTCCAGACGAGGAATCGTTATTTTCTTCAGTGGAGCCAGATGTGATGTACCTTTCACGAAAGCGACATGGACATCTCCCTGCTGGTCAGTGAAGCGAGCATAGGTGACTGTACCATACGCCCACTCACTAGCGTCGCTGAAATGATGCATCTGGAGCGTCGCCATTCCACCGAATTCAGCTGGCTTCAGATGCCGTGGGACACACAGATCTTGAGTAGCATCCAGATGAGATAGCCATTTCATCCAGTCGCTGCGCTGTTGAGCTGGAATCTCCTTGTCCCAGATTTCTCTCGTCCTGCAGAGATCTTGTAGGATCTTCCTGCCACAGATTATCGTTGGCGAAACGAGACCGAGCGGGTCGTAAATAGAACTCACTGCTGAAAGGATGCCTCTGCGGGTCAACGGCTTCGCCCGCAGACTGGTCGCGTTGACAGATACCCTCAGCAGATCGTTCTCTGTATCCCAGACTACGCCCAGGGCGCGCTCTTCTGGTAGACTTTCACCGACTCCTGTACATGTCTGCATCACCTTTGACCTGTCGCCTGTCTGGATCGAGGACATAAACGCCGAGCTGTTGCTGGTGAACTTCTTGAGACTGAACCCACCTTTCTCCAGCAGCGTCTTCAGGTCGTGAGCCAACGAGATGGCCATGTCAGCGTCGTCAGTGCTCTTCAACACATCATCGACGTAGAAGTTGCTGTTTACAGTCTTCACTGCTTCAGGTGATACCTCTTCTGCGAAGTCCGTCGCCGTCTCTCTCAAGGCGTAGCACGCCACACTTGGCGAAGACTTCGCTCCGAAGATATGGACAGTCATCCGATACTCTACCACACCAGAGTCGGGGCGCCCGTCTCTCCACCACAGAAATCTGAGGAGATCGCGCTCAGACTCTGGCACCCGAACCTGGTTGAACATACTTTCCACGTCAGCCATGAAGGCGACTCGTTCCATCCTGAAGCGCATCAGGACATCGAGTAGCGAGTTCGTCATGTCGGGGCCTTGCAGTAAGCAGTCATTCAGACTGACACCGCCGTACTTCATAGCACAGTCATAGACGACGCGGATGCGATTCTTTGACGCGTGGCGCACTCCATGGTGCGCCAAGTAGTTCACTCTGCCGTCGTCACGATGAATGTCTGCTACTGGTACGGGCTCAGCGTATCCCTTGTCGATCATTTCTTCCACAGAATCTCGGTACTGCTCAGCGAACTCAACATCGTTCTTCATTCGGCGACCTAGACTCGTCAGTCTTCTCTCTGCCAGGACACGGTTGTTCGGCAGTACGACGTCTTCATCCTTCAACGGAATGCTGAACTGGTAGTGTCCTCTGTCAACTTTCTTGGACGCCTCCATCACCGTGAGCCACTTCTTGTCCTCCTCAGACAGGCCTCTCTTCATTGAGTTGAGGTTCTCTTCGTATTCCCGATTATACATTCCTTGTATCATATCTTCGATGTCATTCACCGACGTTCTGTAGACCTTTGTTCCGCTGTCTGTGGCTGAGGAAGACGTCACCCCACTCAGGATCCAGCCGAACCTCGTGCGCACAGCATACGGGCTTCCGTTGCGACTGGGTATCACTTGTAGCGGCTCCATGCTGAGAAACGCGTTGGCGCCGAGGAGAAGTCCAACGCATGTGGCGTCTGCCTGCTCGAATTCTACTCCTGTGAGATGTTCCCACCTACTGACATCGAGCTGGTGGCTGGGGAACTCCTCTGGGTCCACCGGGATACGCTCCAATTCGAACAGCGGAGGCAGCCGGAGCGCGTGCCGCCCACGTAGGTCCGAAACCGTTACTCCCTCTACTACATGTGTTTCCACCTTCGTGCTTCTGTCGACTGTCGTCAGTGAAAGCTGTTTGCGTGGCATGTTGTCAATGTTGAGCTCTTTGATCAACGCTGAGGAGATGAAGGAATGTGTCGAGCCGCTATCGAGAAAAGCGTATGTTTGACACGTACTCGTACCAACACGAACAACAACAGGCACAACAGGGAGAACTGGCTTGCTAGCCTCAGACTCACCCGCTGTTTGACATGTTGTTACTCTGGCGGCGTCGGTAGGCCCCTCTCGTTGCTGCTGCTGGGTGTGATTCAGCTCATGTCCACGTCCATGCTGATGTTGGACAACATGTGATGGGTCATGCTGACGGCCCTGTTGTCCTTCTCGTGGCTGTTGTTCCTCCCTTTGATGCTGAGTGTCGTCTCGATCCGGGTGCTGTCCACTCTGTTGCTGATATTGCCGCACGTACTGTTCAGATCGTTCCCAGTGTAGTGAGGTTGGATGTCGCCTTCCACATGTCCTGCACGACGCTCTTCGCCTGCAGTCGCGACTTCGATGTCCTTGCTTCAGACAGCTCCAGCACAGAGCCTTCTCCCGGACGAAGTTTTGCTTCTGTTGACTCGTGACTGCGGAGAGACTCTCACACTCACACACATCATGACCTCGTCGGTTACAAAATACGCAGTGGCTCTCCTCGGGACGCGGCGTGACATGAGTCGCCGTTACCACTGCTCGACCAGAGCTCATCCGTGGACTTGTTCGTGTCACCGGTGTCCTACTCATGGGGTTCCCGCCAAACATGTCCCTACCGTATGTGGGGTTAGACGCAACTCTCGCTTCCTTTGTTACAAACGCGACCAAATCGTCAAAGTTCGCTTCTCGACCTCCAATCTCTTCGATGTCATCAACTTTGTGTCTCCATTTGTTGATCAGTAGCCCAGGGAGCTTCCCCACGATTGTTCTCAGTGTCCTGGGGTCGCGAAGAGTCTCGTGTGTGCCGCAACTACTCAGAGCGTTCCTGCACTTGGTGAGCAAGATACCAAAAGAATCAAGTCCTTGTACATCATCCGCTCGAATCTGACTGTGATTTTCTAGACGAGCAATGAACGCCGCTGATACAGTACTAGGCCGTCCGTATCTACTATCTAGCAACCGTCGGGCTTCGTCGTAGCCCTCCTGAAGATACATACAAGCAGACACGATGTGGTGCGGCTTTGTACCAGGAACCATGTACTGTTCTAAGTAGTACAACTTCTCATCAGGGTCGTCTAACTTGGACGCGATCTTCAAGTCGAATGCTCGGATGAACTGGGGATATTCAGTGACGTCACCTTCAAATCTCGCTATCTCCACTGATGGAAGACGCATGAACCCAGCGAGAGCACGCTGAGCGCTCTCCCCTGACGAGTGTGAAACTGTGTGTGCGCCGGCCGAGCGGACGACTCGTTCGCCGACCTGGTGATTCACTGGACGCGAGGTAGTTTGATGGATGCTCTGTTCATCTATCGGTGGGAAGTGTGGAATAGCACCATGTTGAACGACATGTTGACCTGCTAATTGTGATGCCTGTGAACATGCAGCATACTGATCCGGGATAGCGTCTGAAAACCTGTGCTGGAACACCAAAGACTGTCCTACTGAAGTGAGTGGTTCCTGACTGGCGACCTGACCGAGAACTGGTCCTCTAGCGCTCACCGAAGTCGTCGGAGCTCCTTGAGCTTCCACGAACTGTCTTCGCTCTTGCATCTGCGGCTGTAGTACTCCATGTGGAGGCTGGGTCGTCAGTACCTGCTGTTGTTGCTGACAGTGCACTCCGGACTGAGGTTGAGTGATGTTCGCCTCTGCTTGCACCTGTTGAGAGCGTTCAATCATTTTCACTTGTTCAGACAAGGCAACTTCTCGAGCTTTGGACACATCAAGGGCTTCATTTATCTCAAGCAGCTCCTTTTCTTCCTGCAATCTGGCTAACTCCCTGCTCAGCTTTTGCTTTTCTGTCATACGCTTGAGCTTGACCTCCAACTCAGCTCTGTTTGCTGCTTCTTTAGCTATCCTAGACCTGACCGAGGAGGTAGAGGAACGGGATGCTCTGGATACATTGGATGCACTATCCTGGGGATGCACAACCTGTTCGTGCGAAAGAACATCACTTCTCACACCTAATTCAACTCCTATACTCTGACCATCAACATCAGTGACAGATCTACCACTATCAACAGCAGCAGGACAACCATCGGTTTTAACACCTGAATCCTTATCAGTCATGTTTGAGTTTACATTGGCTGCCACTACGACATGAGCACCATCAGATTGCTGTACACCTTCCAAATCACGAGCATCAGGGTCAGCACCAGCATCAACAAGTTCATCCCCAACTGCAGCTTCTAGTCTCTCACATAGTTCAGCTTTAGTCCCCTTAGTGTTAAGACCCCGCCTCTCCAGCTCAGCCTTCAACTCACTGGACTTCAGTTTATGCATTCTCAGTTCTTAGATGGCACTCACTGCGTTTCATTGAGTAGTCTCGTGGCAGGTGCACTCACTGCAGTCGGATGAGCAGTCTCGTGGTAGATGCACTCACTGCAGTCGGGTGAGCAGTCTCGTGGTAGATGCACTCCAGTTGCAGTCGGATGAGCAGTCTTGTAGCAGACAGTCAAAACTGTTAGTTCCGGCATGTCTCCGTCCCAAAACAGGTGTAGTCAAACACAGGACCTTGTATTCATCTTGTCTATAGATCCGTTTCTGCAACACGTCAGAACAATCGTCACATATAGCAGCAGTGAGCTCTTCCCTAACACAACAACTGAGCCACACTCGATCTGACGATTAGACCTTGACATGACCCATACTCGTTCGTCCTTGACACATTTCGACTGCAAGTAGCACATACTAGGCACATACTATCATAAGACTGAAACGACCAGTTCAATCGGTTAAACTTACTGACTGTGTGCACCTCATGCCGGACTAACTGGGGGCTGATTCCCTCTGACACACGGTCGAAACAGTCTCTTCATATTATTCCTGCAGAAACAAAGTTATCAGTTTGGTACTCAAAACACGGACAAACCTGAAACACCTTTGGCTTGGCTATTCACAGCCTTAAACAAAATAACATTCTCAAAATACTTTCTAGTTTCTAGGCCTTATCGCGGACCTTTAGCTCTACATACATGAAATGCGGCAAACAAATACAAATCCAGCGCAGAGTTCAAGTGCTGATATCAGACAGAGATCACGGTAAATCTGCTAGTTTCATATCACCATCAACAACGGACATTTATCTGATTCAATCCACATAGAGTTATGCAAGATTTCACTTCCTAAACTCACTCATTAGCGCCAGGGAAATCAAACCATCCTCAGAAACAATCCTGAACAAGAATGTCGGCCGCACAAAACGGGCGTGGCAGGAACACGACAGTGCCCACCACTATCATACCGAAACTGCTGACACGTCACAATGTTTTAGGTTCTTAGATTCGAAAACGTGAAACACAAAACGCAGAATTATTTGTTTCGGAAAACGTTGTACAAAATATTGTTCATAGCATTCAAAGAAAACCGTGGAAATATTCATCAGAATGGTATTCGAGTATTTAAAGTACCTGCCACATTCGAGTACTTGTAAATACCCACGCGTAATCACACTCGGTCAATATAGATGTCGCGACGATCGAACGCCAAACTGCTGCTATAGCGTGACTATCGGCGCTTAACTAATATAGATGTCGCGACGATCGAACGCTAAACCGCTGCTATAGCGTGACTGCCGGCGCTAGACTGCTGCTATAGCTAGAGGGCAACTACATTTCTTATCCGAAGAGTTTTAGACTTCCTGTAATGATTTCGTCCAATGATGTAGCTGCGCGCCACGCGAGAGCCAATCAGGTAACCGCTTATTCTGACCAATGAGAGAGCAGCCGAATTTCCGTTGAGCCCCCGTCGCGTCCAGAGCGGGAATTCGGTGCGCCGCGACATGGCGAGGATCGAGATGTGCTTGGATTGCGCCTGCTTGAACGGTGGGTTTCAACTTTCGTGATAATTACTGTTTATTTTATTTCACATTCTCTAATAACGGGTTTTGATATTTCGTGCCGGCTTTGTATGTGTCGGGATTGTGACAGTTGTTTGTCTTTTCTTTCTAGGGCGTTTCAGTTTGTTGGTTTGTCTGCTGAATACACGCTTGGTTGGCTCCGAGTTCGGCGTGTGCCTCTGACGCCAGCGGCCGGGCCTAGACGCTTACATCTGGTGACAGCGGTGGGATGCTCTGAGCTCGACGGCCTAAGCTTGACGGTCTGCATCTGGCGTCAGTAGGATTCTCCGAGCGCGACGGCCTGCATCTGGCGTCAGTAGGATTCTCCGAGCGCGACGGCCTACATCTGGCGTCAGTATAAGATTCTCCGAGCGCAACAGCTGACTGCTCAGCGTCTACACGCCGGTGAGACCTATCCAGTTCGGACTTATCCGATAGCGGGATGTGCCTGAATCCGATAGCGGGATGTGCCTGAACGTTTGTGTCACCCGATCTAAGCGATCGCCCTTTGACCATTGTTGGAGCGGGTAATCCTGCCTCGCGGTCCGAGGACTACCGGCCACTCCCGATGGAGACTGGGACGAGTGCACTCCCCCCTGTTGCGGACACGAGCACCTTCTGACCCCCCGGAGACTCAGGTGCTTCCCCCCCCCTGCCGAGGACGCCGTGCGTGGTATTCTCCGCGGTGACAATGCGCGCACTACCCCCCCCCCCCTTATGAAGACGCACGTGGACATTTGAAGCTGATGTGTGCCAAACTGGGCTGACGTGGACAT